TTTCCCTTCCATCACATTGTCCGAGTAGGGCAAGTAAATCTTAGAAACAGGGTAAGGTCCTAGTGTGCAGTCCTATGTGAAGATGTTTTTCTGAGCTCTTACAAATCCTTATAGTAGAGCAGTGGTTATAAATATGGGCCTTGATAGGGCAGAACAGCAGCTCTGTGAGACTGATCCACATGGGAAGGTTCCTGATTAGCTTCTGCAAATCACTCTTGAGTAAGCTAGGTAACATACATGCCCGTGATCAGAACTGGCTAAAGCTGGGTATGGATCTCAGCATCAAGTCCCTGTTCCGGGTGCAGTGTCTATCTCTCCCATAGAAAGAAACTTAAACAAAAACCACGAGGGCTAATGCCTCACTGCATGTGCATCCTTTCTTAATATAGCTATGTGAACTTGGGCAAGAAATAGAACTTACATCTCCGTTTCCTCACCTGCAAAATAGAGCCAATAATAAAAATTGTCTGATTGCTTTTTCCTATTTCCAAAATCCTTTCTAGAAGGCCTGAAGAGTCATACCCACGAACATTAACAATTTTTGGCCCACTGACAAAACTATTCCTACAACCTGACTCTGACATAGTATTATATCTTCATAACGTATATAAAGACATTCTTTTGCTTATCTCTTCCCTAGACACAGATCTCCTTTTCCAATCACCAATGTAAAAACTGTTAAACTTGGGGGCCAGCAGGTGGTGTGGTGGTTGAGTCACTGGATTCCCCCATATGGCTGACCATGGTTAGAGTCCTGGACCTGGTGGCTTGCTTTCTCACTTTCCCTCTCCCCTCTCTCTGGTGAAATTAAATAAATAACTTTAAATAATTCTTGCTTTCCCTCTCTCCTTTTCCCCCTTTCTCCAGTCAAATTAAATTAACTAATTCTAAAAATAAATAAATAAATAAAACTAAAAAAAAATTATAAGCTCGCCTGTAACCTAATAGATTGTTTCAAGATGTCCCACCTTTTAGGGCCAAACCAATAAAAACACTCTTCACACTAAATTCCAAACTTTGTCTTTCACTCTCAAAACCAAATTACAAAAAAAATAGGAAAGAAAAAACCTACCAGGACCCGGTAGGTGGCATGGTGGTTAAGAGCACTGGACTCCCACATGGCTGATCATGGTTCGAGTTCCGGAACTGGCGGCTTGCTTTCTCCCTCTCTTTCTCTCTCTGGTCAAATTAAAGTAAGTAAATAAAGTTAAATAAAATAATTATTTTTAAAAAGAAGAAAAAAATTCCACCATATCTCTCTCCTGGGGAGATACACCATCACCGTGCTTAATAATAAAGCACGTTAATTATTATTTCTGCAGAGTTATTTCCCTCGACAATGCAAACCCTTCACTGTTACAAGTGAGAAGGCAGACATCCAATGACTATGTCATAACAACGCTTCAAGGCAGCGACATACCCACTAAGTGTGTAGATCCCCCAGTACTGGCCTTCTACCTAAGTGAGGAGAAACGCCCGAAAACTCACGTCGCGCCAAATAATGAACTAATCGCTTTTCATACATAATGAGCCAAATAACCCTCAAAACAAGATCTGCAGGGAGATCTTATCTCCATTTCACATTAATAAAAATAGAATGAAAGGGACTACGTGACTGGTTAAAGACCACGTATTACAGAAGTAAGGAACAGAATGGGAATTAGACCCCAACTCAGGTGAGACAGGCTCCACTAGGCAAGACAATCCCAGAGGACAGGTAAAGCTGGATCCTGCTTCCGTTTTCCACTACGAAGGCCAAAAATGGAGTCGCAGCCTCCGCTACCCTCTTCCCTCCAGTTCATCCCAGTTTCTTCTCCCACTGACCCAGGTAAATCACCAGAGGAATAAAGCCCCAACGGATGGCAAATTGGCCGCCTGTGAAGAGCTGCTGCAGCCGCAGCTTTGCTTCTTTGCTTAATTTCACCATGACGATGGCCGGGAGGAACAAGAAGGACCCGAACAGCGGCAACCGCGTTTGGAAACCAGAGGAAAGGAGGTGCGCATGCGCCACACACGGCCTGTACGGCAGAAGTCGTAAGCGTCTCCAGCAGAGGTCGTAATTCATCGCGCATAACCGGCGGGCTCGTCTGCGGCGCCGCCAGAGAACGACGCATGCGTGTTCCGCGCTTCTTGCTGCGCTGGAGGCTAGTATCTTTTCGTTCTCCTGTTTTAGCAATGTTTCCGTGATCGGCCGCTGTCGGTTTTTCTTCACCCAGTTACACGCACTCACTTCCCAGCCTTGCCTTTGCTATTTTTCAAGTAATTACCAACCTGTGAACAGCCCCTGTCACTAAGCTAAGTCTTGTCTTTTTTTTTTGGGTGGGGGGGGGCAATTTTTGCCATAGGGCGCAAGAGCTCGCAGAGAGACACAGAGAGAGATAGAGAGAGATGGGAAGCGAGAAATCACCTCCCAGGGGGGATGGCCACACCGCAATCTCTTCTCTTCATTCTCTCTGGATTTGGGGCATGCGTGCGTGCACGAACACACTCCTGGCTTGAGTTTTAAGTCCCCAATCCGGGACTGGAACCAGGATTGACTACGTGAGAATCCAGTGGTGACCATTATGCCATCTGGACCATTATGCCATCTGCTGGTCCCTGGGCTAAGGGTTTTAAAATTTTACTTTAATCCTTAGAAGAGTTTGAAGGATTGTTTTCCATTATAGCTTATTTTTACTAATTTTTACAAGGATTGAAATACACATGTTTGGGCTAGGAGATAGGGAAGTGTTAAGGTGCTGGACTCCCATGTGGCAGACCATAGTTTGAGTCTCATTTTGCCCCTGCCCACCCCCATCTCTCTGGTGAGTGCAAGTGCCCTGTAGCAAGTTTCAAAAACTAATATAAAATTAAAATGAATAATTATTTTAAAAATATAAAATACATTATAGGCCTCATTTTACAGGTAAAGGAGATATTAAATAGTTGATCTAAGACCACATAATTGGTTTGTGCTCTTAATCACCATGTTGGTTTTCTATTATCTGAGACTCTACAAAACAAATTTTTTCTCATATTTTTATTGAAATTTCTAATACATAGTAAGAACATAGTAAATATGACATTTATCCTGTCAGTTGAACTGAACAATACCAAGGTCATTTACCTTCTTGAAATAATTCATTGAGCTTTGCTATATACTACGTTGTAGTTAACATCAGTCTTCTAAATAATAGCTCTGGTCATATCACACCTCTTTTCCAAAACCTCCAGTGAGTTACCAAACACTACTTCTGTAAATCTCAGTTTTCTTGTATGAAAATAAGTGTAATTCACAAGATATTATTATGAGAAATAAATGCTGTTAATATGGGCCAGTTTGTGGCATTATGGTTAAAGTGGCTGTTCTGCATAGTTGGACTTTCAGATCCAAGTGTGTGTGTGAGTGTGGCCAAAAATTCCAAGAGGAGAATGGAGAAGGGAGTGTGACATGGCCATCCTCCCTGGGGGTGCTTTCTCACTTATCCTTTTTCTCTCCCTGACAAGTGCACGTGCTGCAGAGCAAAAGTAAAAACAATAATAAAATTAATGCAATTAATATTTATAGTCAGTCCTGGCAAACCTTGTAGTGGTCAATAATAAGCAGTATCTTAGTCCATAATAAAAGATAGTACTCAGATGACAATAAATGAGTGGAACAAACGAAGAAAATTAAGTGAATTAAGAACAGAGAGCTAGTCTTGGAATCAACAATAATGAGGAAAAACTTCACAAAGAGCATTGGACTTAGTTGTTCTTGATGAGTGAGGACAAGTCCAATTATCTGTTGAGACAGAGATGCCACCTTTACCTCAGCCTTACACCTACCTCCATTCCACCCCTGCCAGTTTTTTCTTCAAGATTAAAATAATTTTGTTTCTTTTGTAAGGCACATGTAGTTGTCGAAGAAACAGAGAGAAGAGAAATTATCCTCTAGGGGTGATGGCTTTAGTGCAGTCCCTTCTCCATTCTCTTCTCAGAAGTTTGGGCATGCGTGCACACACTTTTTTTAAAAAAAGAGAGAGGTTTTTCTATAGAGTGCGTCCACTCACCAGAGAGACAGCGAGAAATCAGTCCCCAAAGGGGGATGGCCATGTCGCAATCCCTTCTTCCGTTTTCTTGAGATCTGGGGCAAACACCCACAGGGGGCCTGGCATAAGTTTCAAACCGCTGAGTCCAGACAACCACATGGGAGTCCAGCACCTCAACCACTACACCACCTGCTGGCCCTGCATATGTGTTTTTTTTTTTTTTGAGAAGTTTTTGCTATAGGGCGCGTGCGCTCGCCAGACAGACAGAGAGAGACAGAGAGATAGAAAGTGAGAAATCACCCCCCGGGGGGATGGCCACGCTGCAATCCCTTCTCCTCCATCTGCTGGGGATCTTGGGCACGCATGCACATGCGCCCGGCGTGAGTTTTAAGCCACCGGGTCCGGGACGCGAACCGCGGTCGACTGCGTGGGAGTCCAGCGACATAGCCATTACACTAACTGCTGGTCCCTCATATGTGTTTTTTAAAAGTCGCTGTCTGGGACTATAACAGCACAGTTGGTCAATGGGATCCAACCACCTTATCCTCCACCAACCTGAAATATTTTTTCAAAATACACACACACACATATACACACACACACACAATTCTCTACTATTCTATAAATAACAATAACGTTGTACATTTGTTAAGATATACGTAGAAAGAAATCTAGAGGAATATACTTTTTTTTTTTTTTTTCCGAGAGCTTTTGCTATAGGGTGCTTGCCAGAAAGACAGAGAGAGACGGAAAGCGAGAAATCACCCCCCAGGGGGGATGGCCATGCCACAATCCCTTCTCCTCCATTCTCCTCTTGGGATCTTGAGCACACATGCACACACGCCTGGCATGAGTTTAAGCCACCAGGTCCAGGACTTAAACCAAGCTTGACTATGTGGGAGTCCAGCGACATAGCCATTATGCCAACTGCTGGTCCCGAGGAATATACTCTTAATGCCTCATAGTAGTAGTAGCTGTCTCAGGGGACAAGGAAGGAAGTTTCTGGAAGTCTTCATGGTTTGTGTATATATGTTCATAACATGTTAATTGCTTTTAATAATGAGCATATATGACTTTTGTCAGGAAAAAAAATAGTAACATAGATTTTTAAACAAAAAAACCTTCCAAGGACACTCCTCTGCTCCTCTTTGCCTTTGGTTTAGAAGATAAAAAAATCCATTGCACAAGCTACATGGTCCCAGAAGGCACCATCCTGTCTCTCATTTCTGCTCTTAACTTCTGCCTTCCTATATCCTTCTATTTTCAAGGTCAAATATCTCCTCCAAGGAGCTCCTCTAAGAGGGAATCTCCTCTGACTTTTCCCTGCCCAGGGCAAATTGAGTACTTCCTCAATGGTGGTCCTAATTGAACTTACTTCTGCCACCATCTCAAGCTGACTTATCATTATTTATTTATAATTTGACTTATCTCCCCAAGTGGCCAACAAGCAGAAACTGTCTCATTAGCTTCATATCTCTGGTCCAGCCCATAGCCTAGTGATGATGAAAGCCATATTGTACATGGCCAAGCATGGCTTGACTCTCAGTCCTGGCTGCGTAAAAGACATGTCAGTTGCATGTGCATGCACACCCAAAATCTGGACAGAATGGAGATGTGGAGAAGAGATTTTAGCAAGACTATGTCGCACTTGGGGTGCTTATTCTCTTCCTCCATCTTTTTCTGGTGAGTGCTTGTTGCCCTCTGGCAATTAAAACAAACTTCACATCGCTAGTGACTGTGTATATAACATCTGTAGAGTTGGTGAATAAATTTCATCAGGAGCTTTAGTTTATCTACTTGATCTTCCACAAAATGGGTACTTAAAATGCTTATTTGAAAATTGACAGATACTCTTAGCATAAAAATCGAGATTTGGGCCAGCTTCATGGCCGGGTGGCTATGGCAGCTGGGTTCCACATCGCTGAACCCAGGGTTCAAGGGTCAAACCTGTAGCATGAGAATCACCGGGAATATGTGCATGTCCCAAATCCTCACAGGATGGAGAAGTGAAGGAAAAGGGATTGTAATATGACCACATCCCATTGAGGAGGTACTTTCTCCTTTTATTTCTGTCTGTTTCTCTCTGGAAAGCATATGCACCCTCTGGCAAAACAAAATTTTACAAAACAAAACTTGACATTCTCCATCATGATGGGCAAGAACGCTTGGGTGACTGAGTAGAAATGATGAGTGCCATTTACGGGGTGCTTACTGTTCTATACGCATGCACTACACTAGGTGCTCACACACATTAACTCTCAGAATTGATACAACCCCATGAGGAAGGGACTAGGTTACTGTCCTCACTTTGTAGATAAGGAAACTGAGACACAGGGAAGTAAAGTAAGTATGCCACAATCCTAGAGATGCTTAGTGGTGAGAGATAGGGTCTAATGAACATAGGAAGTCTTAGTGTAGAACCTCAGTGTTAACCATAACACATACTTCCCTGTAGATGAAAAGTAAGCATGGAATTAGAAGGAAAGTCTGTATGTTGCCAGAGACCTGCTCCAGCCAGGGTGGGTTGAGGCTTGTACACAGGAAGGTAACACAGGCGGGAAGGAATTCAGGCAGAGACCTCAATACCCTTCAGCATGTTCTCAACCGACTACAGCCAGAGCAAGCTCCAGATGGTGCCAGTGGCTATCAAACATATGTATTTATTGAGAGATATTTTACAGAAGCAGGAGGGGTGAAGGGGGAAGTAAAAGACTTTACTGTAAAAAACAGAGTATTCAAAACATGACAATAACAAAAACATGATGTCTGTTCTGTTTGATCAGGTATAAACAGTTACAGTCCTCAGGGTGAAAAATAGGATATTCAAAACATGAGAATAACAATCATAAAACAGGATGTCTGTTCTGTTCGATCAGGTATAAACAGCCACAGTCCTTTGGGTGAGAGAGTCCATTTGTCTTCTTAGATCTTGATTACTGGGTAGAGTCTTTTGGAGGAGAGGGTTTTCAGCAAACTTGATAACCAGTCCCAGGCACACTT